TGGGGCCCCTGTACAGTGTGTCTCTGGAGCAGAAAGCAGATGAGTGCAGCGGCTGCGGCGCTAAGTTTCAGGTGAGTTTCTAAACCCTAAACCCTAAACCCTAAACCCTAAACCCTAAGGGCTGATGGGGGCCCCCTTTGATGGCGGGTTGCTGCATTCAGGGCAATGCGCCCGGCGCCCCAGGGTATTTGCCGCCTCATCTGTTCCTGCAGCAGCAGCAGCAACAGAAGCAGCAGCAGCAGCAGCAGCAGCGTCGCTTAATAAGGGGAGCCCCACCAGCAGCAGCAGCAGCAACAACAGACCTTGCTGCTGCTGCTGCTGCCGCCACTCGCTTGGAAAAGCACCGGGAGCACTTCTCAGCAGCAGCAGCAGCACGAAAAGCAGCGAAAACTGAGCTCGCTGCTGCTGCTGCTGCTGCTGATCCTGCTGCTGCTGCTGATCATGAGTACGAAGTCTCTCCTGAGGTCACGAAGCTAGCAGCAGCAATTGCTGCTGCAGCACCAGCAGCAGATTTGCTGTCAGTTGAAAAGGCCCTCATAAGCCTAGCCATGCTCAACTCTGAAACTGAAGAAGAGCAGCAGCAGCAGCAGCAGCAAGAGCAGCAGCAGCAGCAAAAGCAGCAAGAGCAGCAGAAGCAACAGCAACAAAAGCAGCAAGAGCAGCACCAACAGCAGCAGCAGCAGCAGCAACGGGCGCCGCGTCGTCTGTGGCACATTGAGGGCCTTCCCGTTCTTGCTGCTGCTCCTGCTGCTGCTGCTGCGCCTACTGCTGCTGCTGCTGCTGCTGGCTGCGGACAGAAGGAAGCAAGCAGCAAATCAGGAAATGAAAAAGGAGACAGTGCCGCAGATAGCTGCAGCCGAGAAAGAGGATTCCTGTCTGCTGCTGCTGCTGCAGCACAGGAGGAGACAGAAGAGACGCAGAGAGCCGTGGGCTTGCTGCTGCTGCTGTTTTTCTTGCTGCTGCTGCTGCTTTTCTTGCTGCTGTTGCTGCTACTTTGCTGCTGCTGCTACTTTTCTTGCCGCTGTTGCTGCTTTTCTGCAGCTGCTTCTGTCAGGTGGCATCTTTTGCTGCTGCTGTTGCCTTTGTGTTGCTGTTTTTAGTTTTGCTGCTGCTGCTGCTGCTGCTGCTTGCTGCCGCAGCCCACTCTGCTGTGCATGCGCTGCAGCACTTTGAGGTTTGGAGGCAGGGGCACCTCTTCCTTAAGAAGCCTGAGTAAGGGTTTAGGCTTTAGGGTTTAGGGTTTAGGGTTTTGAGGCGCCTCGTCCTTCAAAGATTTGATTGAGGGTCTAGGGTTTAGGGTTTAGGGTTTTGAGCTCAGCTGTATAGTAGCCACTCGACTGCGGCAGGAGCAGCAGAAAAAACAGCAACGCCAACAGCAGCAGCAGCAGCAACTGCAGCAGCAGCAGCAGCAGCGGTGAGGTTTGTGTGGCACTGCTTCAGTGGGGAACGATGAGAGGCGCAGGGAGAGGGAAGCAGCAGCAGCAGCAGCAGCAGCAGCAGAAGCAGCAGCAGTTGCTGCATCACTGCGGACGAAACGGTACTGCAGCAAGAAAACAATAAACAAATAAATAAATTTATTTCAAAATTTGAATTAAATTAAAACTAAAATTAAAAATAAAAATAACTCTTTAATGTTAAATTTAATTCCAAAAAGTTATCCATTTGTTTGGTCCTAGCCGGCCGATGAGTCACGAAACTGCAGCAACAGCTGCTGCTACTGCTGCTGCCGTTGCTGCTGCTGCAACTGCTGCAGCTGCGACTGCTGCGGCTTGTGCATCGTGCTGCTGCTGCTTCTACTGCTGCTTCTGCAGGTGCATCATTGTGCTGCTGCCAGTTCTGCTGCTGCTGCTCTCACTGCTGCTGCTTGCACTGCTGCTGCAGGCGCATCATTTTGCTGCTGTTCCAGTTGCAACGTTGTGCTGCTGCTGCTGCTCCTCCTGCTGCTGGTTCTGCCGCTGCTGCTGCTGCAACATTAGGTGCTGCTGCCTGTACATCGTTTGCTGCTGCTGCAGGTGCATCATTGTGCTGCTGCTGCTGCTGCAGCCTTAGGTGCTATTGCTTTGGGTCATTTGCTGCTGCTGCTGCTGCTGCTGCTGCAGGTGCATCCTTGTGCTGCTGCTGCTGCAGCTGCTGCAACATTCGGTGCTGCTTTGCGTCATCTGCTGCTGCTGCTGCTGCAGGTGCATCATTGTGCTGCTGCTGGACCTGCTGACTCTCGAGCTGCCGGCCGAAGCAGTGAGGTGTATATACACTCCAAACCCCTTATTTGCTGCTGTCAATAAAACCGATTTGCTGCCGAAAAGTCCGCAGCAGCTCAAAGGCGGCGGCCCCGCCCACGCGCTGCAGCAAGCCGTGCTGCAGCTACTCCGCAGCAGCAGCAGCAGCAGCAGCAGCAGCAGCAGCAGGAGAGGCGGCAAGAGCCCTGTGGGGGGGAAAGTCCATCTAGTGAGAAGATAAAATCGTTTTTTCTTTTTTTCTTTTTGCTGCTTAAATGTGCTTCTTCTTTATTTGTTTATTACTTTGTCTATTATTTATTTATTTATTTATTTGTTTAGTTATTTATTTATTTATTTATTTCTTGATTTGCTGGACGCGCAACTGTTTCGTGCTGCTGCTGGTGCTGCTGCGGCGTTTGCTGGTGCAGCTTTGCATCTGCTGTTCACCTTCCCCTGCCGTTGCTGCTGCTGCTGCTGCTGCTGCTGATGCTGCAGGTGAGCAGCAAGACAGGGAGCGGGTTGGACGCATTATTTGCTGCTGCTTTCGAAGCAGCAGCAAAAACAAAAAGAGACATTTATTTGCTGGGTGCTGCAAACTGCGGAAAAAGTTCTGTTTGCAATTGGCTTATTAGGAAGTATGGCAGCACCCACAAGGTCAGCTGCTGCTGCTGCTGCTGTTGATCCTGTTGCTGCTGCTAATACTATTCTGGCTGTGGCTGCTGTTTGTGCTGCTGCGGCTGCTGCTACTGCTGCTCTTTGTGTTGCTCCTTCTGTCTGTGCTGCTGCTGCTGCTGTTTGTGCGTCTGCATTCTACCGCTGAGTGTTTTGCTGCTGGAGCTGCTGCTTCTGCTGCTGTTCATGCTGCTGCTGCTGCTGCTGCTGGCTCGCCGGGTCACTTTACTGCTGCCGTCCGCTGCTTCTCCATCTCCAATCCCTGACTATTATTTAAAACTATTATTATTATTTATTTTATTTATTTATTATTTATTTATTTATTTATTCGTTTTATTTATTTATTTATTCGTAGATGGGGGCCAAAGAAGGCGTCTCAGTGAGCTCGCAGCCAGGAACAACAGCAAAAAGAATTTTTTTGAAAATAAATAAAAAATTAAAACTTTTTGATTGTCCCGGATTTGCTTCTCCACTTTCCGTTTCGAGCTGCATGCGCCAGGTGAGAATTGCTGCTGCTGCTGCTGCTGCTGCTGCTGGAGTTGCTGCTGCTGGTGTTGCTGCTGCTGGTGTTGCTGCTGCAGGAGTGGCAGCTGTTGCCGCTGGGGCTGCCGCTGCCATGTAGGAACCGCTGCTGCTGCTGCTGGAGCAGGGACTGCTGTTGCTGCTGCTGCTAGCAGCAGCAGCAGCAGCAGCAGCAGCAGCAGCAACCCAGTTCCAGTTGCTACGGAACAAAAGCGTGCTCACTGTGCTTATTTCAATCAAAGCACATCTTCTAATTTATAAATAAATTATTTTTAATAAATTAATAAATAAAAAAATAAATAAATAAGTTTAATTAAATAATTTAATTGTGGCCAATTGCTGCTTCTTGCAGGAAGAGATTGCTGCCTATTTGGGGGCAGCGCCGCTGCACAGCAGCAGCATGCGGCTGCAGCAGCAGCAAGCAGTAGCAGCAGCAGACTTCTGCTGCATTACAAACAACAGTGCTGCTTCTGTCTTTCTGACTTTCATGATCAGCAAAAACATAAATCTCCGAATACTTGGCAAGCGCAACTTGCTGCTGCTGCAGCAGCTGCAGCAGCAGTTGCACGAGCAGCAGCAGCAGCAGCTGCTGCTGCAGCAGCAGGCGCTGCAACCAGAACAGCTGGACGGGCAGCAGCAGCAGCAGCAGCAACTGGAACAGCTGCAGCAAAACAGTGAACTGGCGCAGGGGATAACGAAGCAGCAGCAGCAACAGCACCAGCTGCAGCAGCAGCTGCAGCAGATGTGCGTCTTTGCAACATTTATAATTCATTGTATTTCATTTATTTCAATTTTAATCAAATTACAATTCTTTAATTTTATTAAATTTAAAATTAAATTTAAATTTATTTATTTATTTCTTTTTGCTGCAGTCTCGCCACGGGGCCCCACAGCAGCAGGTGGCGCTTTCAGCAGCACAAACTTGAGGTAAAAGGAAGAATTAAAATAAATAAATAAATTTAATTAATTAATTAATTTTATCTTATTTATTTACTTTTTCATTTATTATTTAAATTGTATTATTATTTATAAAAGTTGATTTCATTGTTTTCTCAACTACGAGGTGGCGCAAGCGGCGTCTTGCTACAGCTGTTTGCTGCTGTCATAGCAGCAGCAGCAGCTGCTGCTGCTGCTGCAGTAGCTGCTGCTCCTGCAGCATCTTTCAGCAGTCTCTGTTGCTGCTGCAGCAGCAACAGAGACTGCTGAAAGATGCTGGTGCTCCCGCTGCAGCTGCTGCTGCAGCAGCCGCATTTTCTGTGCTGCTGCTGCCACTGCTACTCCTGCAGCAACCCCTACTTCTGCTCCTCCTCCCACCATTGCTGCTGTTCCTACTATTACTGCTGCTGCTGCTGCTGCTGCTGTGCTGCAGCTGAAAGGCCGGGGCTGGCAGCAAGGAGCGAAAGATATTGTTTTTGCTGACCTAGGCTGGGTCACAGTCACAGCAGCTGGACCCGTCAGCTTGTCTTTGCTTCTGCCGCAACAGGTGCTGCTGCTGCTGCTGCTGCTGCTGTTGTTGTTGTTGTTCTTCGGCTGTGCAAGCATGTGCTGCTAGTTGCTGCTGCTGCTGCAGCGTGTGCTCTGTGCACCCTTGTGCCATTCCAAGTGCTGCTGCTGCTGCTGCTGCTGCTGCTATTGCGTGTTAATATCTTTTATTTCATTATTTATTTATAATTTATCATTTATTTTTATTTGTAATTTCTTTTTTGCAGATTAAATGGCGCCTTCGAGACAGTTTCATTCCGCAGCCTTTGCTGCTCTGCCCCACCCGCAGCAAAAGTGAATGGGATTCAAAAAGCAAATAATTAAATAAAATAAATAAAAATAATTAAACAATTTACTCATTTGATTTATTAATTTCAATTCTTTTTTTCGTTTTCTTCTTTTTAATCCATTTATTTAAAATGTCCGACTGCTGCTGCTGCTCTTGAGAGCAGCAGCAGCAGCAGCAGCAGCAGCCCTGCAGGTTACAGCAGAACGTGCTGCTGCTGCTGCTGCAGCAACTGTGCACGTTACCGCAGGAGTTACTGCTGCTACAGCTGTTGCAGTAGCTGTTGCAGTTGCTGCTGCAACAGCTGAGGCAGTGGCTGTTGCAGTTGCTGCTGCAACAGCTGCTGCAGCGGCAGCAGCTTTTCTTCGCGGAGACTGATCTGCTGAAGACTTGGCTAGGGTTTAGGGTTTAGGGTTTGGGCGCTCAAGCCGAGGGCCTAGGCTGTAGGGTTTCCTGAACCTCTAGCTAGGGTTTAGGGTTTAGGGTTTAGCGTCGAGGAGTTTGCGGTCTTATTCGTTGATTCCAGTTGAAAGAAAGAACGAAAAATGAGAGGCTGAGACGCTGTGGAGGGCTCCAAGCCGTAAACCCTAAACCCTAAATTAGGGTTTAGGGTTTGGGGTCTTGGGTTGGGTGTGAGCGCTTGCAAACAAACACTATCTAGAATAATCTGCATATGTCTCGATGCGAGCGGCAAACAGATAAAATAAACAAAAAGAAATAAATAAAATATTTAAATAAATAAATATTTATTTAAATGATTTTATCTTCTTTTTGTTCATTTCCTTTGTTCGGCTTCTGCAGAGACGGGGTGTACGTACAGCTGGGCTCATGACATTCATTTACACCCGAAAGACATATTTATTTATTTGAAATAGATAAATATATATGTAATATATTTATTTATTTGAAAATAAATAAATATATTTATAAATAAATAAATATAAACTCAATACAAACAAATAACAAGTGTATGGGTAGGTGCATGTACATACACTGCGCTCACAACACTGTGTACAAAGACACGCGCTGCTGCTGCTGCTGCTGTTGCAGCTGCTGCTGCTGCTGCTGCATTAAATGACACTTAGGAAACCGCTTAGACGGCTCTAGTGGAGCTGCTGCTGCGCTCATGCTCTGCTGCTCTTGTGCTGCTGCTGCTGTGTTCACGTTCGGCTGCGCGGGTGCTGCTGCTGCTGCTGATACGCTCAGCTGCTTCGGTGCTGCTGCTGCTGCTGCTGCTGCCCTCTGCTGCTTCGGTGACTCCGCTGCCGAAGAGAAGCGCGGGTGCGACGGTGGTGGTGGACGTGCTGCTGCTTCTGCTGCGGGTGCTGCTGCTGCTGCTCTCTTCTTCAGCTGCGCGGGTGCTGCTGCTGCTGCTGCCCTCTTCTTCTGCTGCGCGAGTGCTGCTGCTGCTGCTCTCTTCTTCAGCTGCTTCGGTGACGCCGCTGCCGACGAGAGTTGCTGCAATGGTGCTGGTGCTGCTGCTGCTGTGTTCTGCTGCAGTGCTGCTGCTGCGCTCGTGCTCGGCGGCCCGGGTGCTGCTGCTGCTGCGCTCCTCCTCAGCTGCTCTTGTGCTGCTGCTGCTGCTGCTTGCTGCTTCCGTGACGCCGCTGCCGACGAGAGTTGCTGCTAGTGTGGAAGCTCGTGGAGCAGCAGTGGTGGTGGTGGTGCTGCTGCTGCTGCGTTCTTCCTCCCTCTCCTCGCCTGCTTCCGTGCTGCTGCTGCGGCTGTGGGGTGCTGCAGTGCTGGTGCTGCTGCTGCTGCTGCGCTCCCTTTCGTGCTTGAGGCCCTGGCCAGCGATGTCCTCAGCTTCGTCGCTGTCGCTGTCTGCTGCTGCTGCTGCTGCTGCAGCAGAGTGCTCGGGGTGCCTCTCCTGGAACTGCTGCACCGCCTCGCGCAGCTGCTGCAGCTGCTGCTGGAAGGCCCCGCTGTGCAGCTGCTGCTGCAGCTGCTGGTCAAACTGCTTCAGCTGCTGCCCGTAGCGCCTAATGAAAGATCTAAAAGCCATCAAGACTTCACTTTCATTCATGTCGAGGGAGCTGAGTTGCTGCTGCAGTCTCTCGAGTGCATCATCTTCTGCTGCATCTGCTGCAGCAACATCGAAGATGTCGATCTCCACGAACCCGTTGCTGCTGCTGCTGCTGCTGTCGAGCTCTGCTGCTGCTGTCGACGACTGCAGGAACGCTGCTGCTGCGGTGCTCAGCCGCTCGCCGGGGGCTGCTGTCGAGGTGCTCGTGCTGCTTGCTGCTGCTGCTGGTGCTGCTGCTGCTGGGGAGTCGTCCAGCCGCTGCAGCACGCGGAACAGAGCTGCATCTTCTGTCAGAGTTCTGCTGCTGCTGCTGCTGCTGCTGGGGCGGCGCCCGCGGGACAATCCTTGGTCCTCCTCTTCTGCCCTTTCGTCAACATCTTCTTCTTGCCTGCCGCTGCTGCTGCTGCTGCTGCTGCTGCCAATGTCCTTCAGCAGCTCCTCGCGAGCCTCCGGCGTCAAAGACAGCCAAAAGGTGTTTATGCTGGAAAGAGCCACAGCAGCAAGCTCGATGGTCTCAGGCTCAGAAAGGAGAGACTCAAGAGCTGCGTCGCTGCTGCTGCTGCTGCTGCTGCTGCTGCGGCGGGGCTCGTCGCGCTCGCCGAAGGAGCCGCGCAGGCCACCAGAGCCGGCGGGACGAGCAGCAGCAAGCTCGGACCTGCCGCTGCTGCTGCTGCTGCTGCTGCCGCCTTCGGCAGCAGGGGGCGCTGCAGCGCTGCTGCTGATGGCAGCAACTGCAGCAAGCGCGCAGAGGCCCTTAAGAAGCATGGGAGCCATGGTGGAAGCTGGGCGAGGCTAGTGCAACAACTAAGAAGGCAAAATTCAGATTAATTAACTCGAAATGACTAAAACAAGAATTGTGAAGCTCTCGGCTGCAGCAAATTGGCCCAAAGAAACCGCCAGCGCCGGAAGCTCACCACTGGTGCGGGGGTGACCCGACCAGCGGTCGCCGCTGCGCGCCGCCGCGCTGCTTCTGCAAACGAGCTCGAAAGCTCTTTTTTTCCCCTTTTTCCTGCGTTTTTTCCTGCTTTCTCCCCGCAATTAAATTCAAATTCCAATAAGCTCTCCAAAGACCCCGCTATCTGGGCCCCAGTCGCGCAATCGACGCCTTTGCGGCCCGCCCGCGCCACCCAGCTGCCGCGAGGCATCGGCGGCAGTCGCACAAACGCGAAAGCAGCATGAAATAAAGATATTTCCGTGTAATTTTTGTTATAATCGAAGTGTCCACTAAATTACCTCTCAAACAAGGGGTGATGAGCCTAGATTATCTGCAGTTTCTTTATCTTTCGTGCACAGATCCGCAGCCGCCACGCGCACACAGCCAACCACCGCCGCAGCGCCATGGCTGCTCTTCTTCCGCTCATTTTTCCTCTTTTTAAAACTACAAGAAAATAATTTATAATCCTTTAACCTTTGCGCTGCAATTACGCGCAAAAAGAGCCCCGAAAAGGCGAAAATCGACATGCTCGATTTCCACCTCTCTACGTGCTCCAGGTGTACGTACACCTGAACCCGCGCCACGCACAGCTGCGCACATGGACACAACTCGAGTGTTCTTACACTTTTAAATTAATGAAAACAAATAAAGCAGCAGCAGCAGCTTGCAGGCTTCGCTGGGAGCTGCTGCAGCTTCTGCTGCTGCTGCTGCTGCTGCTGCTGCTACTGCGGCTGCTGGTAGTGCGGATGAAGCCGCCCTCATCTATGATGCTGCACCTGTTTCTGCTGCTGCTGCAGTCGTTGCAGCTGCAGCGGCAGTTGCTGCTGCTGGAGGAGGCGTCGCTGCAGCTGCTGCGGCAGCAGCTGCTGCTCCTGTACTTTACAGGAGCCACTCCTGCTGCTGCAGCTCCGTTGTTACTTGAACTGCCGCTGCTGCTGCTCGTCCCGCTGCAGCTGCTGCTGCTGTTGCTACTGTTGCTTCTCCTTCCTTTAAGAGGCCTGCCTCTTTGTGCTGCTGCTGCTAATGCTGCTGCTGCACATGTGCTGCGGCAGCAGCTGCGCTGCTGCCGCTAATCTGCAGCTGCGAGACCGCTGCTCCTGTGAAACCCTTCAACGTCAGTCGTTGTGTCCCAAGCAAGGCTTAGGGTTTAGGGTCTAGGGTCTAGGGTTTAGGGTTTAGGGTTTAGCGAGCGTTAAGGCCCCAGCCCACACAAACCCTACCTTCTAAACCCCAGACATTTAGTTCTAAGTGATAAGCCCCAGCACTAAGCCCCCATTTTTAAGGCCCTGCTCTCTCCCCAAACCCTCAGCCTTCCAAACCCTAAACCCTAAACCCTAAGCCCTAAATCCTAAACCCTCAACTATAAGCCATAAAATTTATGCACTACACCGTATTATCCTACCCCTGAACTCTAAACCGTGACTCCTTAGCCCTGGACCCTAAACCCTAAACCCTAAACCCTAAACCCTAAACCCTAAGCCCTTCTGCGTTAAGCCATGGTTTCCAGCCTTCAGAGCCGAAAATAGTTAATTTTAAATTTATAAAAAATGTTTTATTAAGTGTATATTTGATCACATGAAAATAAATAACCCGCAGATAATTCCTAAACCCTAAACCCTAAGCCCTAAACCCTAAACAAATTATGTGGACACGAACTTCACGTAGCTTGTACATTGGAGCAAACCCTAGACTCTTAACCCTAAACCTTAAACCCTAAACGCTAAGCGCTAAACCTTAAAGTCTAAACCCTAAACCCTAAACCCCAAACCCTAAACCCTAAACCCCAACACTTGTAGCTGTTTGCGTCTGCGGATGCTGCTGCAGCAGCAAATCGAAAAGAATAAAAGACACTTTTATGTACAAGATGTGCAGCAGCAAATAAAGAGGAATAAGGCTGCATGCAAAGCAGCAAATTGAGTCTGCAGCCTCTCTAGGATTATTCTGAAGAAGTAAAATAAAAAGAATTTCAATTTTGTATTTTATTTGTCGAAATTAATCCAAAATTCAAACTCAAATTAGCTGCTGCTGCTGCTGGCTGCAGGCAAATGGCGTCAGGGCTGGATTGGGGGGGTGGGGGGAAAAGTACTTCATTTAAACCATTTAAATTTTTAAATTTGAATTAAATTAATTAAAATGAAATTAAATGGACAAAGAAATGCAGGAAGATGCAGCAGCTTTTCAGGTTTAGCCCAGAGGTCACTGGCGTCGTGTGCAGAACACGGAAAGTTCGACAATGGAATTTTTCGGATTTTTTTCGAATAAATTGAACTGCAGGTGTTAAAATTTCGCATTTTAATAAATTAATTGAATTTATTTGCACAGTTGAAGGTACTAATCCGAGAAATCTGGCGATACGAGCTGCTGCCTGCTGCTCATGCTGCTGCTGCTGCTGCTGCTGCTGGTATGGCAGGACCGCAGCTGTTGTTTCTTTTCTGCCTTTTTTTCGCCCTTAATGCAAAAATAAGAAAACGAAGAATAATAAAAAAAAGATTTGTTATTTAAAACAGAATTTAAAATCGAATTCGACGGCCACGCGAAGGCGTGATCGTCGCGGTCAGCAGCCAATAGGCCGGGAATTCAGGTTTTGCCTGCTAGGATATTTTTTCTTCATTTTAGCGTTTTCTCCCGCGTAAAAGCCATTGAAATTGAAGCCAAAGAATCCTTTATATATTTACAGCATTTATAAAATGAATTCCTCGCAGACAAACGGCGAAAATGCCGTTTGCAGCTCGAGTTCGAGTTCCCAGACAGACCCGTCAACTCAGTATTTTCAGGCTTTTGCAAACCCCGCCTGGCGCGCTTCCCCCTTCATCTGCTACTGGGATCTGGAAAAGGTAATTCGGAAAATTAAATTAGAATTAAAATTAAAATAAATAAACAAATAAATGAATGGAGAGGAGAAGAAAGAAGAGCTTCTTTTGACTACTGCCCAGTCACTTATTCCAGCTTTGGAACAACTCATCCGCTGCTTCATAATTCAATTTTGTCGTTCTTTTCTCTATTTCTTCGATTCTTTGCAGTTAAATCTTCTTTCGGGCCTCCAATATATCCTATTAATCTATTTAAATAATTAAAATTGAGTTTGAATGGCTTATTTCGCTGTTTCAGTTGATCTCAAACCCGTTTGAAAAACAGGAAGTCTTCAGTATCCGTTTCTCTTGATTGCTGAAGAGCCTTTTTTTGTTTTCTTTTCAAATAAATAGTTAATTTGGCGAATTAAATCCCTTTCTTTTATTTTCGTTTCGAGTATTTCATTTTCTTCAAATTAAATCACCAATTAGCATCCATTTCGATTTCTGTTTTCAACTTTCGAACTATCGCTTTCGTTTTCCGGCTCAATAAACCACTTTTATGCATTCTTTTGGCGCGTTTTAAACGCTTTTAAGATTGTTTAATGTTTATTTTATTATTTTTGAATTTATTTCGCGTTTTTAGATCCAAAATTCTGAAATAAATGCAGAAAATATCAAATGGATTTCCCGCGCGTCTTTCCTGTCCGGAGCCCTCCGGGCCATTCGCCGGCTGCAGCGAGAATTGCAAATGGCCAGTTTGCAGGGTTTGTCTCTCCAATTAATTAATTAAATAATTAAATAATTAATTTAATTAATTAAATTGATTATTTAATTCATTAATTCCATTTATTTGTTCATTTCTTTGCTTGTTTACTCATTTAATTGCTTGCAGTATGAACTGGTGAATAGTTGGCACACTAATTAATTCAAAATTGCTTTCTTATCCGGCCAGACGATAAATTCATTTATTTATTTTACTTTCTATTTTTTTGATTCATTAATTAATTAAATTAATTAATTACTTTAATTACATTAATTAATTAATTGATTAATTTAATTAATTTATCAATTTAATTAATCTATTAATTAATCAATTAATTAATTTGAGAAACACTCAAGTCCGAAATGAAAACGAATTCAAGTCAAAAAACAAAAGTAAACTTTTAATTCTTTTTAATTCTCTTAAAACTCTTTAATTCTTTTGAATTCATTTTTAATTTATTTGAAACCTTTTTTAATTCTTTTTAAGTCTGCATAACTCATTTTAATTCATTTAAATTCATTCAAAATCGTTTTAATTCGTTTTAAATCATTCTATATTCACTTTTAAATCATTTTAAATCATTTTAAATCATTTTAAATCATTTTAAATCATTTTAAATTAACCTTTTAATTCTTTTTTTCCAAAAGGGTTTCGTTTGGCGCATTATTTTGGATGCAACAAATTGGAGGATTCGGTTTTGAGATTTGCTGCTGCTCTTTCGGGCTTTTCCGTCGTCACCATCAACTGGGACTCCGACACGTAAACCCTAAACCCTAAACCCTAAACCCTAAACCCTAAACCCTAAACCCTAAACCCTAAGCGTTACACCCTAGGGCCTAGGCCTGGAGGCCGAGGGGCGGGCTGAGGAGGCAGCGGGTAAACGAATTGTTCTTCATCAAGCGAAGCCCCAAACCCTTAACCCTAAACCCTAAACCCTAAACCCTAGGTTTTGCTGCTTCAGGCCCGCGAGGGTTTTGTACAAAATAGAGACGGCGGATTGCGCTGCTGTTATTTTCGATGATTCTTTTGAAGAAGCAAAAATTGATTCGCTGCGCGAACAAACAAAAGAAAGCAATGTCAAGGTATCCTAAACCCTAAACTCTAAACCCTAAACTAACCCTAAACCCTAGACCCTAAACCCTAAACCCTTGGGGCCAGACCCCAGACTGCTTGGAGGACGTTGACGCAGCAGATTCAGATTTGCTGAGTGCCGAGAACGGACAGCAGCTGCAAACCCTAAACCCTAAACCCTAAACCCTAAACCCTTGTTTTGCTGCAGTTTATTGCTGCTAGTCGAGTAGTTCACATTGAGGATTTGACAACAAAAGTAGAAGAAGAAGAAATGCAAAAAGAAATCAACTGTTGGCTGCAGTTAAAGGCGGAAGAACAAGAAACCCTCACAGCAGACTCGGAAAGAATGGTAAGAAACCCTAAACCCTAAACCCTAAACCCTAAAGCATAGGCCCTGTCTGCTGGGCGTCAAACCCTGCGCAGCATGCCCCAAACCCTAAACCCTAATCCAAACCCTAGGTCCCTAGCCCGCAACCCGAAGCCCCGAGTATTACACCGTAACTCCTAAACCCTAAACCCTTAACCCCAAAACAGAGTTTAAACTCTGCCGGACTTGCAAGCTTGCACTTTAGGGTATAGAGCTGCACACTAAGCCCTAAGGCCTAGGGTTTTGGGTGTAAAGGTCAAGGCTGAGCGTTCAGATTCGAGGGTTTAGGGTTTAGGGTTTAGGGTTTAGGGTTTTCTTTTTGGCTTTTCAGGTCGTATTCACTTCTGGAACCACCAACGACCCCAAAGGTGCTCGGCTTTCTTACGGGTGAGGGTTTAGGGTTTAGGGTCTAGGGTTTAGGGTTTAGCGCCTAGAGATCCCAGTAGAATGGCTAGTCGCATCTGCACTGTAGGGTTTAGGGTTTAGGGTTTACTCGCTAGCTTTGAGACACCGGCACTCAAGAAGCGCGCCTCAGCGCTGAAGCCTCAGGGTTTAGGGTTTTGCGTTAACGCTCTAGGGTCTACCGTCTAGGGTTTAGGGTTTACGGTTTAGGGTTTAGGGTTTAGGGTTTAGGGTTTAGGGTTTGTGGTTTAGGAACCTGTTGACTGCGGCGCGTTGCGTGTGGGACGCGTTGGGGGTTTTGGAAGAAGAGGAAAAACAAGAAACAAAAAAGGAAATAAAAAAAGAAATAAAAAAAGAAATAAAAAAAGAAAATAAAAAAGAAAATAAAAAAGACCTTTTTCTTTTTCTTGTAAACCCTTTTCACCACATAAACTCTTCCGTCTTCTTCGAAGCAGCTTTGCTGCGCTGCAGCAGCTCAGTGCACCTTTTGAGCAGGTGATAAAACATTTATTTAATTAATTTAATTAATTTAATTAATTTAATTATTTAATTTAATTAAATTAATTAATTTAATTTATTTGTTTTGTTTTGTTCGCCATTTGGCTTTTCAAAACACGAAAAGAGCTCTTCAACGAATCGCTTGAGCAAGTATTTTGTAAATTGGGGTTTAGGGTTTAGGGTTTAGGGTTTAGG